CTGGGTGAGTCTTCGTCTGAAGAAGCAAGAGGCCGTTTCAACCCACCTATTTTTCTTTTCTTTCTTAAAGACGCTTTGAGTTTTTGAAGTGGTGTGTGGCCCGTGAACCAGCTTTACCATTGTTTCGTTTCACGTTCCAAGATTTTGGAAATCGTCAAGTGCTGCCGGTCTTTCGTCCGGCGCAGGCAGCGCTCGCGCACTAAAAGAGTTATCAGAGTTTGGAAGTCGTCTTATTGCAAAGTTGACGAATGTCTTACTTTCAGGGGTAGGTTTTGCGCGCGACGATTTTGAGACAGAATGTTAGGATGCTGTTTCCCTGTAAAATCCTCATCCGACCACAGCTGTAGTTTCGACATTTTCCACCTATTCCTTACATCTTCACTACAAGAGAAGGGACAGGGGTCAGTTTGATCGCTGAGGCATTTTCAATCACAGGGAAAAGTCACGATGAGGGCGAAAAGGCGCAAAAAAGTAGAAGGACCATACTCCAGCTAGAGCAGGCAGTCGTGTCTCATTATCAGTAATCCAGTACTGTTACATGTAATCCCTCAAAGACCACTCCACCCTTTCAATCTTAGAATATGTGCAAAAGGAATGACTAAATTACTCCTCGTCCTCGAAGTCGGTGGCCTCAATGGCCATGGCGCGCTTCATCATGCGCTTGAACTGGCGGTCAGACTCAGCAACAGCGCGAGCGAGGTTGCGGCGAGCGGCGGCGGGAGTGTTGCCAGCCTGAGCCATCTGGACGGGGACGACACCACCGAAGGGACCGGCGCGAGCAGCGTTCTGGCAACGGACCAAGCAGACGTTGCTCTGGCCGGCGACGGTACCAGTGCAAGTCTGGCCAGCGGGGATCTCGGCCTTGATGGGGAAGTCGGTCATGGCACCAGCCTGTGGTTGTTAGTATCGAGTGCTTGAAGTGAGAAGAAGATGTGACTTACGCGGTTGCGGGAGTTCTGGCCGGGAACGGTGACGGGGACGTTGATGTTGGTCCAGGTGGCACCAGTAGCATCACCGTTGATCATGCAGTCGTAGGGGCCACCACCGTCACCGTTGACCTGGTGGACGGTCATGTCGATGGTGCCACCGGCACGGATCTGGGGAAGCTGGTCACCAGTGGCGGCCATGATGGCCTTGGTGCCAGTCTCCAGGTCGTTGGTGCCAGCACCGACGGTCTCGCCGAAGGTGTCGGCGGCCTCGCCCTTGAAGCGGGTGGAATCGGCCTGGAAGGGGTCGCGACGGGTTCCGTCACGAGGAGTGCTGAGATCAACACCGAGGGCCATGCCAGTGCCACCGAGCTCGCCGGTAGCGCCGATGATGGCACCGTGGCCAGCCACCAAGTTGGCGGCGGCAAGGATAGCAGTAGCAGCGACGGTCTTGAGAGACATTTTGACTAATAGTTAAGAGATGAATGAGATGGTGCTCCTTGCCAGAGGAGTGTAAACGAGTAGTATCCTGCCGGAGGAGGTATTAGAACCGAAAGAGAGAAGAGACTGCTGAAAAGCTGAAGATGTTGATGCTGATGATGAGAAGAGATGAGAAAAGGTTGGGAGGAAATCAGTTGCTTTTGTACTCGACATTCCACGATGTTGAGTCGATACTCTACAGTATGCCCCCCCCCCCCCAGCACATGAAAGGCAAACTTAGCAGAATATCTCCTACGTCGCCTGCACGATGCACATACCGTCTGGTGCCTTGCAACCCTTGGAACCGACACCAGCCCCAACATCAAGCATATTGTTTAGACTGTAGAGTGGGAGAGAAAAGATGAGGCCAAACACCGGCGAGAACGACCGCATCTCGTGATGGAGACAAGTTCGAAACTGGGCCCTTTCCGATTCGGATCGTCGAAGGGAGGCTCTGTGTGGGAGCCGACAAGGGTTCGAACCTTGTTGAAGAGCCAATCGCATCGCGATCGCGTTGTCCTCCCCCCTCCTCGAAGAGAGCAGGGAGGGGAAGAAACACTGTCGCAGATCAGAAAACGTTTGTCGCACATCCCTGGTGTGCCTGGGAGGGAAGATGATGTTCCAGGATCTGCGCCACGCCCGTATTATTCCAGGGCACGGGAGAGAATAGCCCAGATCAAACACACCAGACCCGTCTCTGTCTCCCCCGTTTTGGTTGGACTAGTTTGGTTTGGTTGGTACCGCACGTTGGCGAGACAAGAGAGGCCGTGCGGAGAGTCTGTGAAAAGGCGACTCGACAGAGGTGATGCTTGCCCTGCGGCGCGATTTCAAGTCTCGAACCTGCGCTCGGCCATTGGGTACGTTCGTCCATAGTGGAAGCGTAATCGTGAGCGACTGGGAACCAAAGAATGGAGAGAGACGCAGAGATCTCTGACGGCTATCATCTCAATCTTCTGGAACAAAGGCCCCTAAAGCCCACCCCGTTGCAACTTGCTGTGTGAACTTGGACAGCGGACGATAGTGGATACGCCAACGATGAGAAGTTGAGATGTCATGTTGGGCTTAGCCATGCCCGCAGTGTCGTGCCTGACACTGGTGCTCAATGCCACTCTCTGCATATTGGTGTTTTACGGATGGAATACCGAAATGGGACAAAGGCGTATAGAAAATCACCAACGGGCTGAGAGAGGCGAAGTCCCTGCAGAACGCAGCGATGCTATGCATTACTACGTACTCTCAGCTAGGCACCACGGGAGCTAGCGCTTAGTGTCAGGTACGCCAGGGCAAGCTTCACCACTCCCGTTTGCTTGTCTCTGCCCTTTGGCTTGCTGCCCAGTCTCATTGGTCTTCTTGGATTTAGACTTGACTCGGCTGCCCGAAGTATCCACACAAAGTAGCATTCGCACCACTCCGAATAGGTTGAAGTGGTGGGAAGGGGAAACAAGGAGGTGGCCCGCCAGGAGTACGGAGTCACGGAGGCACGAAGGCCTCCAGCTCCGGGAGGAGGCTGGGGGATTTGATCGCCGTTGACATGGCAAAGGATGCAGGAGGGGCGCATCGTTTCGCTGATCATTGTGAATCAATACTGCCAGCCGGGCACGATTCCTAGGAGACCATCGCATGAGCCGCCGGTGGTTTCCACGACTGTCGTTGCACCGCCAGGCGTTTCTCGTTTCTGTGGATCACCCATCGACCCTGGGGAAAATCAGTTCCAGGGCCAGGCGAGGCGAATGTGGCCCTGTTCACATGAACACCTTGAAAGATCCGGGGGTGGCCAGGGACAATAGGTAGGCTTCATTATGGGGGAGACCTGGGCAGGGAGTATCGGTTGCCTTTTGCTCCGATGCAAGCATGGCAGTTCTAGACGTCCTGACAGGGAACGGAGGGGCAAGTTGATACAGGGGGGGCCGTTGCGCTTGGATCTTGCAGACACTGCAGACACAACCATCGCCAGTACCACACACGCAGCTCACGCAGCTAGGACTCGAGAGCCTCAGCCAATCCATGGAGACCCATGGAGAAGGGGGCGCGGCTGGCTGAGTCGCCAGCTGTGATTCGTGTTGTCCGTGCTACACCGCAGCATACCTGGAACAGGAACTGGTCCACCCCGCTCGAATAGAAGCGCGGAGAAAAATAAGCTTGGCAAAAAGAGTTGTGTCAGAAACACGATGGCGAAATCGGGTCTCTACTGGGGGGCTTGTATCCCAGGATATGATCGCATTGGGAAGCATGGGACACACAGAAGACGCCCGTTTGCTATTCTGGTTTGTGGGCAAGAGTCGCCTCTATGCCATGAGGCGCACATTCTACTGCGTAAGGTCCCACGGTCCGTTCCCAGTCATTCATACTTGGACGAGCACTCAGGGGGTCCGGCTGATGCAGAAACCGAGAAGGGTCATGTCAAGATTTGATAGGTAGGAACATCGACACACTTTCAGGCAGCCTCACGGGCAATTGAGCCTTCCAAGACTTATCTTTAGTTGTGTTTAGTCGTGTGCTGTAAAGCTTGTCTACACGGAGCTTTTTTGCCGCCTTGCGTAGCACTGGCATTTGCTCAGGCCTCTTCTTGAACACTTGGATTCTTCGCCTTCTCCCGGGTCGGAGCCGAGAACCGGCTGGGCGGTCCCACTCTCTCGGCCGATTCCGTCTTCCGTGGTGGGTCTCCTGTCCCGTAAGGTCCCCCCACTAGCTAAGCCTTCGCCGCAATGATTTCCCTCTTTCATAGAACCACAATGATTTGCATTCCCGCGCCCGCGATGCTTGCGTAGATCAATCATCATCTGGCAAACCAATCGCAATACAGCGCATAGTGTAAAAGGGGGGAATTCCTCAGCCACAGTAAGGCCTGGTGCGAGTCGCCAGGCCCGCTGTGCGCACGAGACCTGACGCGCCCCTGACGCCGCACGCGGGTTTGATCTTCGCTGCCAAGCTGCCAAGACACCTCAAAACTCGCCCTACCCCGAGCCATGCCTGCAGTACTCGGGTGCCAGGCGGTACATGTAGCCATGGGAATCCTATGGCCCGGTGGGATGGATGGCAAGAAGATGCGTAAAGATGCAAGGCTACTACATACGTCAGGTACAGCCAGGACTACCTACGCGAGGTTGCATTACATGCCAAGAACATACTTTACGTAGGGCAGAGAGGCATAGCAGGGGGCTAGTCATGACCACCACAGCACGGAAGAAAGCCTGTGAGGGCAACTCTCTCCGATCCTCTCGGATGGCTCCAGCTGTGAAAGCTTGTGTTTGGCGAAGTCTTCACCCAAAGTCGTTAGTCGAGAGTTCATGCATCGCCCAAGGGACGAATCGTACTCATCGTATGTCCCTCGTCATGAGTGGTTTAGCATTCTCTACAAGTGGCGGAAATGCAGGTCCACGGTTTCTATTTCGTGAGGCACGTTTCTGACATTTGAAAAATTGAGATTCTTCAGCCTGTAGTCTTTGAGGTGCTCCTGAGTCAAACCTTTTCGGGAATAGACTCTCATCGATTACCTTCATCCTAATATCTGATGCTCGGCATGAGACGCCCTACTCCATCGACCGAAGTTTTTTTCAGAAGCAGGCACCAATCCTTTGACTGCGCCCATCTTAACTACGCTCGTGCCGCGAGCAGTTCGCTCACCACCGCTGAGATCTCGCCGTCTATACTTGTCGCCAACCCATCTGCCTCCAAATCCCATGGGACGGCCGTCTCAGGTCCTTTGCCTACCCTCACAAGCTTCACTCTTCCCCCGCCTCTTATGACGAGATCCTCGTTAGGCCATCTCAAGACCCCCGGCGTCGACATCCCTACGCCAAGCTCTAGGATCACTGTCGTCCTTTCCTCACGATGCACCACGTCCCGGCGGAACTGCTTCCATCTCTTCTCCCCATCCTCAAAGGGTTTCTCGTTGAACCAGTGCCCTGCCCTCACGCAGATGTTCATTTTGCCGTTGCAGAACTTGCAAAGGGGGACCTTGCTCGGTTCTGTCAGTATTTGAGATACCGGATCTAAGAACGCCTGCGCAGCTGCAACTAAAGGTGCCGATGGCACTGTTGCCTCAGGTCGGCAATTTGCCAGGCACTGGAAAACCGAATACGATCCTTGAGGGGTAGAAAGTCTCTCTGGTGATAACCCGTTTGCGACAAAGAGACCATCGGCGTTAGACGTCCTCACATGCGCGTTTTCCCCAAACCTCTCAAGCCATGAAATGAGCGTTCGGTACATTCCGGATTTTGGCCAAGACGTGACCATCGCCAAGTGGGTGAAGTAGTATCCCCAGCGAACTTGTTCCGTTGGCCAGGAGTTGAAGCCAAAGACGCTGTACAGAGTTCGCAGCCCATACTTCAAGAAACCGGGAAAGTTCTTGGCAAACAGGGCCGACGAAGTGTAATCCAACCCATCGGAAGCAGAGAGACCGGCACCGGCACTCACAATGACTGCGTCAGCCGCGTCCAGCCACTGCCTTGCCCGGTCCAGCGAGTCGCACTGGATCAGCGGCGGATGATTCGCACTTGCCGGCGGAGTAAAAGTCGGCGCTGCCCGCCCCATCCATGAAGTATGCGGGGGAGAAGCCAGGATTTCCTGGTACACAGCATGATCTGCGTCCGTGAAGGTGTTGAAGATGATATCGGTGATGGACGTATCCTCGTGGTGCTCAAGCCAATCTGCGACCGCGCTGACCGCCACGGCTGCTGCATCTCGCGCCGGATAGGCAAACAAGCCGGTCGAGATGCCGCATAACGCGACAATTTTCCTGCCATCCGGCGTCGCGGGCAGCGGTTCGACTGTGTCAAGAACGCTGCGATAGCATTGGGCGAGTTGGAGAGTCTCGTTTGTCGTTGGTTTTGAGCCGCGTTGCAGTTGCGGCCCGACTGTATGCACCACATGATTTGCTGGTAGGCAATAAGCGTCTGTGACTATCGCTTCGCCCGGTCCGAGTTCACGGCCTCTTTCGTTCATGACCCGGTGGCACTCGTCCCGTAGCCGGGGGCCGGCAGCAGCGTGAATGACATTGTCTATACAGCGGTGTGGTGGCTGGAAGCATCCGAGGCCCTGGCTGTTTGCGGCATTGGTGATTGCAGTGATACCGGTGAGAGTCGTGATGTCACCTTTCCAGAGCGTAACTCTAACGCTCTTATGGTTCGCTCGTTTGAGTGTTATTGTCGGTTGAATAGAACCCGCTAATGTCAGGACACGATGGGATGCCTGCTGCTGTAGGACCGAGTCTATCTCGATCAGAATGTCTTCTGGGAGCGGTGAGTCCGGTGTGCGGACACAGAGTAACTGGTGAAGCAATTGTAGATGTGTAGGGGGCTCCAAGTCGTCGAGTTGGTCCTTGATATGACGGAGGTGGTGGTGATGATGGCCGTGATCGCAGTCGTCATGATCTGAGTCAGCGCCTGAGTCCGCTTCGTCCAGTAAGTGGACAAGAATTTGCTGTAGACTGTCCATGCTTTGGTGTTATTATGAAAGTTCCTCGTTTGCTCGCAGCACCTCTTATAATGCAACTCCAACCTCACCCAGACAAGGGGACACTACTCTCTTGTACAATTTATCTTGGTTCACATGGCGGAATCGATTTCAAACATGGCAGAAGTTCGTTTGTGAGACTGCTCATTCTGGTTCCGATTTTATCTTGCTTTGGTGAGCTGCCGGAAGCAATTTGCATCCGACCCTCAACATCAAATGAGACCTCTCATCGGCTTCCAGAATACTCTATGAAGTGATATACTTATCAATTTCACAACCGTGCTGACCATGGCAACGAGCGCGAAATACCGGAAATATGAGTAGACTGGAGAGAAGGCCATGTTATTGTCGAACACACTTGCATTTGCAAGCTGCATCCGTTGGCCTGATATCCCGCATCTGAAAAACCGGAATTGTCCTCTCTCATCATCAGCAATTCTCACCGCGCACGATAACGCTCCACTTCATCTTGTCAAATGCCTGTCCTGAGGATCGCAATACGTTAGGTGAGTTCCTCTTCGCGCAGGATTGCAAGACCTTTTCAGCCCCCTGTGCAATGCCGTCGAATGTTCTCATGGTCTTTGGTTTGTCGTCCTGTAAAATCTCGACTCAGCTTTGCATGTAGAGTGTCGTCTTAAATTCTAGACTCACGTCATTACACCACCAGATGGCAGTTTTGAATTCGCAAGTCATAAGAGCGCATTTTCCCCGGCCAACCTCGAGTTTAGCCCTCCTGTGCCGGATGCGTTTGAGTTCGTTGATGCCATCTTTTACAACGGCGACTGAGCCCAAGGGAAACTTATGACAGACGACATGCGAAATATCGAACTTGTTCGGCTCTTCTAGGGCTGAAGAGGTGGTAGGAGAACCCGATTCAGGGCCCAAGACCTGCGCGTACAGAGAGTTGTAGGACCGAAGATCCGCCAACACCTCCTGAACTGTTCCATTCAAAACGACTTTCTCGGCTCTCGGGTTGATATCATCTTGAAACTCCCACTCTGGGATGATAATCTCATACCCTTCAATAGGGGCCAGGTTGGTGGTTGCTGATCCATAAGCCTATTGTCATGTTAGTAATAAACCATGGAGTAGCCCTGGAATCTTGGGCATACCAAAACGGCCAAGGAAGCAACGATGAGAGCTTGTACTTGATGGAAGCGCATTTTGATGGATTCAAGCGATCGAGTGTCGAATGCAAATATCTGAAGTAGAGTCCGAAGGCTGTCTGTCAGTATGTGAATCGTTGTAGATGGAGAGCCTGAAGTAAGCGGTATCAAGTTAAAGTGATCCATTAGAGAACCTTGAGGTCTCAACAGATATGAATGACCGCTTTTATCTGTGGAGCTGAACTCTAACATGAAGATGTGGTTGAAAATACTGAACAGACATCTTCGCATCCTTCATTGACGCTACCTTAGTGGCTGCTTGAAGCCTTAGAGGTGCCGTCTTCTCGAGTGTCGGCCTACCGACAGGAAAAGTTTCAAGGACACCTTGCACGCTTGAACTAGTACTTTCCTATCTTCACCCCATAGGTACCTCAAATACCTCTGTCTCATATGTATCTAGGTAAATCCGATTGCTTTAAAGGTGAACAGGTTCATATGCTCGAGCGCTGAGTGGATGTGTATTCTTCTTGTTATCTCATGATGTTATATGCGCTACAATAATGCTACTATTCTTCAAGGACTATGAGGAATGTGCATTTCTCTATCCGCTACGCGACAGGCATGAAATAATAGTTACGTAACTAAAGCCGAGAAGATCTCTTTCTCATTCTTTCTTTCTCTAAACAGGAAGACGAAAACCTGTTTGTTTATGAATGTCATAAAAACTAAAAGATTCAAGAACATCTTTTCGAGTATCATGAAAACTCCGCTAATGAACAGGAAAATGCTGCATATTTCTTTTCAAAAATAATAACATTCATTCTAGTTGGGTTCGTTGTGCAATTTTATTATTGAAGTACTCAACTTAGCGATGTCCGAGACTTCGGACCTTGACACGCTCTTGCTACTCCCATAGCTAATGACACCATAGGTCATGAGAGTAATGCCTCGTTTACGACCAGCTCACCCAGCAAAGTGCCGCCTTCAAGTCACCCTCTGAGAAGCAGAATACTAATTATGAATAGAAACGAGCTCATACCCGAGACTGTGAGACATGACTTGGCACCTCCACCATCTCAGTGCCAACAGGTTCATGTCATGGCGGCTTGCCTGCGTAGTCATGGGTCCGTGGGCATTTCACCTTATGCAGTCGTAAATTCATCGGCTACTGCGTGACCGTCGACGCTCTTATGAATGATAGGAGGTTTTGATCAGCAGTTGAAGATGCCCTGGGACCAAAGCTATCAGGGCGGAGGCGAGGGGATGCTTCATTGTCCTTATCACCTTGCTTCAGTGAGAACCTTTCAGACTTGCATCCGATTCCCTTCAGAAATAGAAAGAATGCGTGATTGTCCCGACTGTAAGGTAGCTCGGTCCTCCCCTCTCGAGCTGCCTCACTTATCATTCTGTTGTCTGGTCGTAATACCGCTATCGCTTTTCTGCCTGTGCAATTAGGATATCCCTCTCGACGAAGAAAGGGATATCTCGCATTTCAATGAGATATTAATAGGCGCCAATCCGACTGTGAGAGAAAAAGAGGGATGGGGTTCAGCTTTCTAGCTCAACGCCATCGTAAGGTAGCATCATGCATCCGAATTCGTTTCTGGCATGGTCGTTCCCTCAGCCGCACAAATTATCGAGAGTCTCAGCTGAGTTGAACCCGCATTAGCACTTGATCTACTCCGTAAAGAGAGGTCATAAATGCATTTAGTTGGCTATTCCACAAGCGGAAGCCCCTGTGCGGCATTCTTCATCCACCTATGTGCTGAGAGTATTCAGGTAGCATACAGCAACGGGACAATAGTCCAGACCCTTCTGAAAACGGCATCAATCTCTCGTTTACAGTCAAATGGTTCACAGTTAAATAGTTCGATTGTTTCGAAACACCTGATTCGTCTGGTACCGAACGTCCGTGCCCACCACTCACTAGCAGTTCTAGACTCTTGAAGACCGGCGTTAATGCGGTTATGACTAGCGTTCTTTCAGCTCGCCGCAGCATGTTCTGAGACTTCACAGAAGAGAGTAACTTAGGGGTTCGAAGACTACAGGGTTGCCCAAACACCTTTTAAGGGCGGAGCACGACCTACTTTTGTTCTGAGACCTTCACTTGATCTAATATATCATCTTCTCTATCCGCCCTCATAGTCACTGCAATATCTCCAAGCAGTCAATTTACTTCAAAGGCCATTTTAAGTAACACTAGCTATGGGTACCAACAACAACGTACACGGGAACGCCATTCCTGCGAATTCCCCCCCTCCCCCGCAAAAATACATCTCAGCTCTCAGAATTGAGGCGTCTGATGACTCGGATTTCTTCCCGACTGGCACTTGCGTGGACAACAGTGGAGATCTGGGTAGCCCAGATTGTAATAATAGTTTCGGCGGAAAGTATACTTACGTCGTAAAATCTTTTACTGCCGACCCATCCCGCGCCATCACTGGATTAAGGATTGAGATCACTGGCGACGACGAACCGGCATTCGGAGGGGACATGGCTCAAGGAGCTGGCGGCGACTACCGGTATGTGGTCACTTCACGAGATTTGAACTTGCCTACGAGGATCAGTGAAGTACAATTATGGAGATCTCCCAACGACTCTGTTTCCCTCGGTGATGCCCGCGCGGCTGGATGGGACGGAATAAGTACAGATATCAATCATAAGAGAAGTGGCGCGTACCTGTATCTTGTTTGGAACAATGTTCGGGTCTGAACGTGGCTCATGTCGAGGAGTGTTGTAGACTAGGGGTTTTTTCGTCGGTCAACTCGGTTTTCCCCTGGTCAATGTTTATGTGTTGTTTTGCTTTTCCGGTTTGAAACAGTAGGAGTCGAATGAAACCATTTGAACCTGCTGGGAAGAGGACTATACAACTTGTGTACCTACATGTATACATCCTTGTCATCCGGCCTAATTTCAGTCCGGACTACCATCCATTGGCTCATACCCCTACTAGTTCCTCCTTTATGAAAAAGATCAGTCATGGAAGAAGGGACCGGGTTGAGACGATTATGAACGTCTTGTTGAAATTTTAGTTGCAGGTCAAAGCTATAATCGTACTAGTACTCTAAAAACACCTTTTATCCGGTAGGATTAGGCTTAGAACTGGTATTTCTTTCGGCGTCGTCTACTTTAACGAACTATCACAAGCGCCATCCATCCAAGACATCCGTATCGTTATACACAGTTAAGTCGAAGTAGTGTACTTGTCTTTGTCCACCTCGACCAAAGTTCTCCGACGTGATGTTGAGCAAGGTAGCCGAAGTAGTTGAAGACGTCAAGTTTGTCAAGCCAGGGAAAGCAGCCTCCATCATGCTCGAAATTTCCCGCGGGGTGTAAAAGTCGGGACCCTTGGCTTCGATGTTCTTCTGGAAAAAAGAAACATAATCCCTTGTATGATCGACATCGGCGAGCGCACTGAAGGTAGTGGACGCTAGCGCGTGTCCCGGTATGACAAGACTAGGTCTGAGGCCCGTGATGAAGTTGAGGGTCGTGAGCCAAGACTCTGTGAGGGCGGGCGTAAGAAGGTCGGCGAGCCAGGCATGCATCTGGTGGCCGTAGACGACGTCACCTGCGATTAGTGTCTTTATAGACGGAATCCAGAATGAAGATAGATCAATGGTATCGCCGCCGATGTTCTTGAGTATTTCGATCGGGCACTTTTCGTCGCCTGGGAGGGTGAAGAAGGAGAAGTTGTAGGCAGTCGGAATCGCGGGAACGGGGGCGATAATGCCGGGGCCATAAGCGGCAGACCAGAATTCAGTCTAGAAATTTGTTATTACCATTCCTTCTCAAAACGTCAACAGGAATTCTCACTTTGTTGATAGCCTCGTTCTGGATCCCCTGCACCGTCTCTGGCGTGGCGTAGTGCTTGGCCTCGGGGAAGTGCTGAAGGAATGCTTTGCCGCTCAGATAGTGATCGGGGTGATTATGCGTTGTGAAAGCCGCCAAGAGAGGCTTGTCAGTTGTGTTCTTAACCCATTGAGCCAGAGTTCCCGCGTCGGCAACTGCAAGAGGCAAGTCGATGATCGCAGCGGCTTGAGAGCCGATGATCAGAGACGACACAACATCCAACGAGAACCCTGGGCTGATATAGCTTTCGACTTTCAGGTCGCAAGTGCATGACGCGGCACCTTTTCCGAACACTCCTGATAGAGCGACGGCGGTGATGATCTCACTAAACATGACGGTGTCGGTACGTCTGGTGATGGTAGGAGAGCAAAAGACTTTGGTGAACTTTCCTTCGATGCACCAAATGCTCCAGTCTTGGAGATACAGCGCTCCTGATTTTATAAAACATCAATCTACGTTTGCAAAAATTTCAGTCCTTCAATCTGCTTCCGAGTCTTGGCCAAATATCGAGTGCCCTTAAGCCGCCTCGGATGTATTATGACTTTGGAAGAGTCGGAGCTATTTTGTTTCCGTTGCCACTTTTTCTGACAACCTTCACTTGTAGCATCAAATCTATGGCGGTGACCACTACCCTTTAAAATTAAATTGACTATTACGCCAGACAACCCTCAAACCTCTTGGCGGTTGAAATAAAGATTAGTGATACTCTCTCAAGCGGGTTCCTGTTGTATGCTTATAATCTCCCGAACTATGATATCCGGGACTTCCGATCCATCGGAGACTGCGCACCCTTCTCCTTAGATCAGTCTACGGTTCCATGAGAGGAATTCAGGCTTCTCAGGATAGTTAACAAAGAATTCAAATTATGTTCGAGGTTGAGACCATTTGGCGATTGCACCTGGACACAAATCTCAAACGCGGATGCTGCAATTCATTCTCCGGTGTTGTGACCTCAAAATGACTACAAGATGTTCAAAAAATAAGAGCGATCTGTGTGAGAGAAGACAACCAATCTTTGAGGTGACATCGGTAGTAGAATGGAAGAAATGGAGGCCCCCGAAACTAGAATATGATGATGGTGATGGGAGGACAGATACGTCTCACGTGTCTAGAAAGCGCCGCGACTTGTGCCTTCAGAACGCGTCCTAGAAAGATCTCTAGTCACGATTGCGATTAGACTGTTAATTTCCGATGGCCTTTGTGTCTTATCCCGAAGAGATGGTAGCCGCAAAACTTTGACACTCTAAGTGCGTTCTGGCCTAGTCCCAGCCGCTGTTCGAGTCAAAGCATTTGATCATGACACGCCATCATCGACAAAGAACACAGACCCAACCGTTCCAGAAGTCGGCTCCTTCAACGGCCGTGCCTGAAGGCTCATAACGGTCATCCCCACGACCTCGTATTCCGGCACGAGCAAGGGTGACCACTCCTCATCGTGACCTTTTCACCAGCCCGCGCAGGTGTCGTCACGATGTCAGACATCACGCCAATAGAAACGCTCTCGGGCATGAAGAAAGTATGCTTGGCAGATCTACCGATTCTTCTTCGGCAAATACCCGACATCATGCTCGAAATAGCCTCGCACCTCCCCACGGAGTCCGCCATGTGTCTGGCCCTTACCTGCAAATCTCTTTACGGTCTCCTGTCCCAGACGACCCTTCCAAAACTAAGGACAAGCGACAAAAGACTCAACAACTTCCTCTTCCTCATTCTCAAGGACATTAGCAATCAAGGGCTGTACCTCTGTCATCACTGCACGCAACTTCGGCATTGGATCTGTCCCACGGGGACGGGTTGCTCAAATTGCCCCTCCATCGGCAAAGGGCAATTACTTTGGAACACGTCGCATGGGAGATTAAACGAAAAGATTCATTCGTGTATCGGCGCATCAGCATATTTCACATACACCGTCAACGGTTCAGAAGACAGGAACGACAACTCGAGAGTGGTCATGCACCGGGATCGAGGAGGATGGCGATTATGCTGTAGCAAGAAATTAGATGATGTTTTTACGATTGACTGATTCAACATCACGATTTAAGACAAGGAAAGGGCAACCAGATGCGACAGAGGGAAATCTGAGGTTATACCAAATTTGTTACTCAAACGCATAAAGAAATTCTCATGACTACATGTACCCTAGCACCCATTATCCTTAACGCCAATAATATGCCCTTATAATGCTTTATCTAGCAATAATTCAGTTCAGTCCAATCTGTTCAAGCAACCACTTGGCCTCTTCAAACACTTCTTCCGGCGTGCCCTCAGCCTCGATGGGGAGGACATCCAACTCCGCGACACCCGCAGCCTCATACACCTCAACCTGTCCCTCTACCATGCTCGCCAGCATGTAGTGACCCTTGCGCTGATTCATCCTTTGCACAAGCGTCTCAGGACTGGCCTGGAGGTCGAGGAAGACAACCTTGACGCCCTCCTGCTCTGCAAGGACGCTTCGCAGGGTATCGCGATACGACTTCCTCAGAGCCGAGCAGCTGACGACGACAGAGTCGTAGCCCAGATCTCCGAGGGCTTCAGACGCTCTCTTACCAATGCGGCTAAGCCATAGAGACCGATCCTCGTCAGTCAAGACGACGTTGCTGCCCATCTTCTCGATGGATGCCTTGGAATGCAGAGAGTCGCCCTCGATGAAGGGTGCCTTAAGAGAAGAGGCCAGAGAGGTAGCCAGCGTAGACTTTCCGCTGCCGCAAGGGCCCGCAATCATGACGACCGTCTTGGCTGAGACTTCGTTCTTTTTGACCCAGTGGTTGGCCTTGAAGTATCGGACAAAGTTGTCGACAAGCTTCTGATCCAACACGGGCGCTTGGGCCAGCGCCCGTGAGAGAGAGCAGGCATTGTCGGTGACATACGTCTTGGACGGCGAGAACTCGTCCTTGTCATACTTTGACGCGAAGAAGTCGACGAGCTTGATTGGCGGGTTGGCGGCGGGATCCGGGTTCGAGTCGCGCAGGCGACGAATCCACTCCTTGGGCTCGACCTCTTCGAACTCGAGGCCAGCGGCCTTGAGGGCAGGGAGGAGATCGTTGGTCCAGCTGAACATCTTGGGGTTCGCGACGTTGGTGAAGACGCCGTCTGCGTCGGAGAGGGAGATGTCGATGACGCCCTGCGCGACGGTGTCGACGGGCAGCCAGGAGGGTGTCTCTTGGAGTTTGGGGAGGGCGCCGACGGTGATTGCCGTTTGGAGCATGAGGGGAATGGCTTCCGTTGCGTTCCAGACGCCGTGTTGGGTGTCTGCGACGATCTGGCCGATGCGCAGGACGCGGGACTTGATTCCGGCCTTGGTTGCCTTGGCGCAGAGGTGCTCGGCGACGACCTTGGACTGGGCGTATCCCATACCCTGAGCCCATTCGAGATCGGGGACGGATTCGGGGACGGGGATCGTCGTCGCGCGCGCGACGGTGCTGACGGAAGAGCAGAAGTTGAACGAGGCAGGGGAAGATGCTCCGGTCTCGACGTCGCCGGCGGCCTTGCACAGGGCGATCAGGTGGTTGACGCCAGCAATGTTGCCCTTTGCGAAACTTGAGAGGCGCATGTTGAAGTTGACTGACCAGGCGGCGTGGATGACGAGGCGGAGATCCTGCTTGACCTGGCGGTATAGTTCGTCGGAGAGACCGAGCTTGGCATCGGCGAGGTCAGTGGACAGTGCGACGAGCTTTCTGCGGGAGGAGGCGGGCAGCGCGTGGTAGAGCCTGCGCTGGATGAGGGAGCTGTTGACGCGGCGGACTGCGTCGGCGTCGGAGCTTGCACGGGTGAAGCAGTAGATGGTCTTGATGGTCGGGTCTGCGGCAAGCTTGGTGACAATATGCGCTCCGAGAGAACCAGTAGCGCCGGTGACGGCCTATGGGATGTTAGTACAGAGGTGCGAGAGGGACGTTGCTTGGGATATCAACTTACGACTGAGGATCTAGGAGCCGACTCGATGGGACCAAAGTTGCCGTACTTGTCAATAAGCTCTTGCATCTCGCTTTCGATGGGAACATCGGCCTGAACGCCCTCTCCAGTACCGAGACTGTAAAGGTAAGCGCTCAACTTGTTGATCGACGGATGATCAAACACAACAGTCTGGCCAAGCTTGTTGTCGCCAATGTCAACCGTCCTCAGGATATCGGAACGCATTTGGATAGCCTGCAGGGAGTCGAGACCAAGTGAGAAGAAGTCGGTATCGTCATCCAGCTGGACCTTCTTTGAAAGAGTCTGGACGAGGCCCTGGCGGATGAAATCTTGCAACTCAGGAACGCTAAACTTCTTCAAGTCGCCGCTGGCCGCGTCTGCATTGTCGTAGACCTCGTCAATATCCTTAGCGTACCGCTTGTAGAAGGCCTGGCGAATGACGCTGCCCTTGTCGGTTCTGGGATACTCGCAGTCGTAAGGGAGAAGCTTGATCATGTTCTTGGAGACACGGGCATAGGCCTCAACGGACTTGCTCGCGCTCTCGACTACGGGCCAAACAATCTCAAGAATCTCATCATTGCTCTTGCCAGCCAGCGCCGCAGCTGGAACGACGAGGGCACCAAGAGATGGGCGACCGACGCCGAAGATGACGCACTCTGTGATGTTCTTGTTGGAGCGGATCGTGCCCTCCATGTGGACGGGGTTGAACTTCTCGCCGTTGACGAGTGCAATGGTGTCGTCAAGTCTGGCAATGTACTTCCACGCCTTGGGGATCGTCGGGTGAGGCTCAAACAGATCCTTTGTGCAGTACGATCCATCCTCCTGATTCGTGGCTACCTTGGCAGGCCAGCCGGGCAGGACGCAGCACTCAAACAGGTTCGGACCGCGAGGAATCCACTTGAGGTACGGCGCGAGCTTCTCGTGCTCGCGAACATAGTTCCAGACCTTGTCGTTGGGAGGGCGGAAAGACGTCATGAGCTGACCGACCTCAGTTGCGCCGTAGTGGCCGACGAGGTTGACGCCGTTGTTGACGAGGGTGTCGCCGAGGTCATCGGGGCAAGCGGAGCCGCCGTACATGACGATCTTAAGCTGGCGGAGCAGGTCCATGCCCTCGTCTGTCTCTGCGAGGAGCTTGAGCGCGTAGGGCACACCGTAGAAGATTTCAAAGTTGTGCTTGCGCATGATGCTTGTGAGGTGCTCTCTGGTCAACGGGAGATCCGCGTTGTACAGGTGGATGGGCTTTCCGCAGTAGATGGCGCGGTACAGATTGCAAATACCGTGGTTGTGGTACAGGGGTAGTGTGATGAAGGCCTTCATGTTCATGCTGCTGGAGTAGTTGTGGATGGCCGACTTTTGAGTCTGGTAAATGGGCTTGGGCAAGCCAGTCGAGCCTATGAAGGTCAGTGCTGCTCAAGAGGCAATACATGGAATACAACTCACCACTAGAGTGAATGATGTAGATCAGGTTGTTGGTCTCAACTGAGAGATCACGACCATAATCCAGACGGGTATCAGCATGGACTTCGATGGGGAAGTCAAACGTTGACTGGCCGGCAATCTCAAAGACATCAAGATGAGGCAAAGTCTGCTTGGCTCCCTCGGCCGTCTCGAGGTACCTCTTGTCAGCCAACAGGAACTTGGCACCTGTAACGCTGATGAGAGACTCGATGGCTTCCTGTGAGATTCTTGTTGACAAGAAGAGCGTCGTGTGTCCAAGCTTGGTCAAGGCCAGCATGGTGACGAGGTAGTCAAAGTTGGAGGGGCCAAGAACAGCCACTGTCGTGGGCTTCTCATCTGAGTTGGGACGGCTAGGGATGCGCTGCTCATAGAACTTTGCAACACGGTAGGCAAAAACGTCGAGCTGCCTCATCGTGTAGTCGACATATGTGATACCCGAAGAAGGGTAAGACACAATGACTTGGTCAGGTTTCGATCGGGCGCGCCGGCGGACCAGCTCGTCCACAGTCTTGAGCGTTGAATCGTCATTGTCCAAATCCTGCACTGTAGCAGCGTCAATGATGGGATTCGCGTCCAAGCTGGAGCTCGGGAGCGCCGCGCTCGTGGGACCGTATACTGAGGGGGGACTCATGGTGGACGATGTTGCAGGTGGTTCATCCAAAGTCGACGATGAGTGTTCTTCGGATTCTTGATGATGAGTCGATGACCACCCTGCTTTTGAGGTTGCGAATGGCTTGATGAGTGGTTCATGTGCCACCCTTTTGAGAGATGGAGAACGGCTCCGCGGCCCAGGCAAGACCGTCATTGTTCCGACGCCGATGAAGTGAATTCCTCAACATCCGCCATGTTGATACCCTGCCTGACGCTCTTCCGAGTGGACCACGCTTGTGGCGATCGAGGCGGGACAGAAACCTGGAGGAGGATCTCCGTTGGTGGGGGAGGCATGAATCCGTTTCCCCGCTCATTGCTGGGGTTAGGCGACGGATTTTGAGGGCTCCGCCGACGGGTTTGGACGGATTCGACAAGGGTGTGACTAGCTCCAAGGAAAAGAATCCGCCAGTCTGAATCACAACTGCGGACTCTGTGGTGATGGAGTCGTTGGGAGCCACATGTCTTGATCGCAGTGTCGATGGCAGAGTGGCTGAGAGCGATTTATTATCTGCTTGATCTTTTCCATCAAGCGACCTGTTTTGGGCACATTATTATATAATTACAGCTTGATTTGTGTAGAGTTCAACAATTGCGTCCATACCAGCCACGGATAAACGCCATTGATCCTTGCACATACACCAAGAAACTCTCCCAAGATGCCTCTCGCAACACACTTCACACTCAACACTGGTGCAAAGATCCCAGCAGTGGGATTCGGCACCTGGCAAGCCGGACCTCATGAGGTTGAGCGTGCTGTTGAGACTGCTCTGCGCTCCGGCTACCGCCACATCGACTGCGCCGCCATCTACCGCAATGAGGCGGAAGTTGGTGAGGGCATTCGCAAGAGCGGCGTGCCTCGTTCAGAGATCTTTGTCACAGGGAAGCTGTGGAACACCAAGCACGCACCCGAAGATGTCGAGTCCGGTGTTGACAAGACGCTCAAGGACTTGGGGACGGATTACCTCGATTTGTTCCTGATGCACTGGCCAGTGTAAGTCTCATTCT